GTTTTTAACTATTTTGATTTTAAACACAGGTTGTAGTTTACCCACCAAGACACCAGGGGGCGCTTCCGAAAATACCGGAAGTAGATTTACTTCCTCCAAAATGGCAGCCGATTTTCTACGCGASCGATAAATGCACTAAATTATTATTAAAAACTTTTCAGTTCGGCTATTAGAAGCACTTATTTTTTATGCTAGTACAAGATCAATCGGCGTTGAGTTTTTTGTGGTAAAACAATGAAAACTGGTGAACATCGATCGAGCTAGTGTTGTAGTCTGGCTCTAACGTRTCTGTTTTCACTTTTGTTTATTTCGTTAAACAAACTTCTATTATAGGCTGTTTTTGGCTTAAACATAACAAGATGCATCGCAGAGGTGTTGGTGCGGGGGCGATAGCCAAAAAGAAGCTAGCAGAGGTTTGTTTACATCTCATTCTTTAAGCTTTAGTCTCCAACTCTGCAATGACCTAAGAACAAAAGTGCCACGGTTAAAGCTTCAAAAGGCAATTCGTAATGTTTATCGATTAATTGAAATAACCTCAGCAGGTTCTCATGGATGCTTTCTTTAACATTATATTCAAATAATTTATTAATATGTTTTCAATTCAGGCCAAATATAAAGAAAGAGGGACTGTTCTTGCAGAAGACCAGATTGTTCAGGTAAGTTTGTTATTGTTGCTTTTTAATAAAACAGAAACTGTTTTGTTGTTGTGTTTTCTTGTTTAAGCAAGTTTGAGAAGGCTGTAATAATTGTCAAACCATTCATAATTAATATTTTGAATTTAAATGTTCTGCAAACCAGTTGTTTTATGCATCATATCTCCTAGAACTGATAGCATCTTGGTTTTTTTGGGGGTAAAACAACAACAAAACAAGACATTTAAGCCACCTGAAAAGGTGTTGAGGGAATTTTTATTACATTCATTTGGAAACCTAACAGGGTGAACAATAATAAGTATCCCATGTCATTTATTTATGAMAAAATGAAGGTTTTGTTTCAGAAAAGTATGGAAACATAACCATATTTTCTGTACAAAACAAGGATTTTCTCAGATAAAATATAATTAGTCAAACATGTTAGTGCGTTTCATTAAAACGACTTTATCCTCACGTTGATTTGACATGATCGTTTGAATGTTTTTACTTGTATTTATTTGTGATTTTATAAATCATATATAATTTCAGGGGAGTGTTAAACATTGACAGCACAAATCCTTTGACGCAAAAATAATTTAAATCACAGATTTCTTGAGCATTTGTGCTGTTTTATTTTCTTCCAGATGTCCAAACAGCTAGAAACCTTCAAGTCCAACCTGGAGGAGTTTGCCAGCAAACATAAACAAGARATCCGCAAAAACTCCCAGTTCAGGGTCCAGTTTCAGGAAATGTGTGCCACCATCGGTGTCGACCCGCTTGCCTGTGAGATCACTTGGATTTTATTTACAAATTATAGATAATAGATGTAACAGTGTTGCAAAAAAAAGGGGTTTCAAATTGAACAACACTCTGAAAGATTAGTTTTTTCCTCCCACAGCCGGCAAAGGTTTTTGGTCTGAGATGCTTGGCGTGGGGGATTTCTACTACGAGCTCGGTGTGCAGATCATTGAAGTCTGCCTCGCCCTCAAACACAGAAATGGAGGTTTGTAGTTGATTTATGAAAGAGGAAAGCTCTGCCTGGGTAAATAAAGGTTTTAGCAACAGTTTGGCTCATTTTAGCTTCTGTTCTCCTTGTTGAACTCAGCTTTTTCTGCAGTATTTTATTGTGATTCATGGAGGTCGGCAGTMGTTATCAGATATAAATCAGCACCTTTGTTTCTTTGATTCCTGGCTGTTTTCTCTCAGGACTGATCACTCTGGACGAGCTCCATCAGAGAGTCCTTAAGGGACGGGGTAAATATGCTCAGGATGTGAGCCAGTACGTTCTACTCATTTCATGTTTTATACGCCATTTATAACATAATAGACATCATTTTTTGCATATTTTCTCATAAACGTTTAAAAGGACTGAAMTTGTGCTCCACAGAGACGATTTGGTCAGAGCCATAAAGAAACTGAAGGTGATGGGAAACGGGTTTGGGATGATTCCGATCAGTGGTTCTTACTTGGTCCAGTCGGTCCCAGCAGAACTTAACATGGATCATACTGTAGTTCTRCAGCTGGCTGAGGTAAAATAATACTTTGGGCTGTTTGTTTTCCTTCCAAAATGACTTTTACAGCTCAGTTTGTTGCCATAAATACAGTTTTGGGTTGTTTTCTTTCTTATGCACAAAGTCTAATAAACATAAACTTTATTCCATAAACATGAAAATGATTTTAGACACAGATTAAATGTCAGAAACCAGCAGTCTTGCTGCCAGGAGAGAAAACTGTAGTTTGGACTTTTCTTTCCTAGATGGTCTGTTCCAACGACACAGTTTTGTTTACCTGTTTGCAGAAAAAGGGCTATGTGACAGTGAGCGAGATCAAAACCAGCCTGAAATGGGAGACGGAACGAGCCTCTCACGTTCTGGTAGGTGAACCTGTTGGAGCATGAAGAAAAGTCTCATCATGAATTTAATGGCAGCAAAAACGTCTCAAAAACTCTGAGGWTGTACAAATAAGAAACAACTTGAGGAGCATTCTGTTTCCATCAAGAGGACRTTTTTTGCAGGGAAAGATTTGAGAAATAAAAATTAGGTTGTACTTAAATCAAATTCAAACTAAACGTTTTTCTTTTCAAGTTCTCAGTTTGAACATTTGATGTTTGCTGTRTTCCACTGTGAACAAAATTTGGATTCCTGAAATTTGCAAATCRTTCCGTTCCGTTTTTATTTACACAAAACGCCGACATTTTTGGAGTTGAGGTTTGTAGTAAAATGTTTATAGGCATGAGTTTTCTTTTCGATGTCATYATTTCATTTTGTGACTGGTTTTTATTTAAAAGTTGGATTATTTAAACAAGTTATGGTTAGGGATGTAACAATTAATAAAAAATCTGTTAATGGATGATATCACCTTAAAATGTGAATCAATTCATAAAAATGAATGAATCGATTTCTACGTCTTTAGGACAAATCAGGGTTATTATAGTTAACTAAAACTAAATAATGAAAACTGAAATTGAAAAAGAAAACATTTTAGGTAACTAAATATAACCTGTAATAAAATGAAAAACCGATAACTAAAACTATAATCTTTTTTACAAAATTAGCTAATAGCAATAATAGATAGAATATCCTTAGTTTTAGTATTTGACAACATTTTTCCCTTTTTTTATTGAGTCGTTTCGCATTAGCTGTGGGCAGCTTACAGCACCTCATGGTCTGTAACACTTGTTTACAATCTGCTGCTCAGCATCATCTGCTAAATGACAACAAAAGTTGGGAGAAAGCAGCAACGTCCACTTTGGGATTTCTTTGAAAATGACTGCGAGTAAAATAAAAGCAGGTGTTTTGTAGTGGAAACAGGTGATAAAACAGGTGGAGAACTTCTCAAGGGAAAAAAACTTCTTGAATCAAAAAAAATTGAATAGGTCTTCTGGACGGGTTCTTCTCTAATGAAA